TCCCAGTGCTCCCAGTGCCCCCAGCCCCATTCCCAGTGCTCCCAGTACCCCCAGTCTGTCCCAGCCCCATTCCCAGTGCTCCCAGTATCCCCAGCCCGATTCCCAGTATCCCCAGTCCCTCCCAGCCCCATTCCCAGTCCCTCCCAGTATCCCCAGTACCTCCATGTTGCCGTTCTCCCGTGCCAGCACACACCAGCCCCATTCCCAGTATCCTCAGTCCCTCCCAGCCCCATTCCCAGTGCTCCCAGTTTGCCCAGTACCTCCATGTTGCCGTTCTCCCGGGCCAGCACACACCAGTGCGAGGGCTCGGGGCTCTGGGGCGCCGCCTCTCTCTCAGGGGGTCCCGCTCGCCGCGGCTCCTCCCGGGGCGGGGAGCGGCCCGAGCCCCCCGAGTCCCCGTAGAGCATCTCCTCCTCATCATCAACTGAGCCACTGAGGGGAGATCAGCACACCTGAGACACCTGGGCACACCTGGGCACACCTGGGCACACCTGGGCACACCTGGGGTACACCTGGATACACCCAACACCCCCCCAGTCCCCGTAGAGCATCTCCTCCTCGTCGTCAACTGAGCCACTGCGGGGAGATCAGCACACCTGAGACACCTGGGCACACCTGGAGATACCTGGGATACACCTGGGCACACCTAACACCCCCCGAGTCCCCGCAGAGCATCTCCTCCTCGTCGTCAACTGAGCCACTGCGAGGAGATCAGCACACCTGAGACACCTGGGCACACCTGGGCACACCTGAGATACACCTGGGCACACCTAACACCCCCAGTCCCTGTAGAGCATCTCTTCCTCATCATCAACAGAGCCACTGTGGGGACAGGGGGACACACCTGGGATACACCTGGGGTACACGTGGGCACACCTGAGATACACCTGGGCACACCTGGGCACACCTGGGCACACCCAACAACCCCCCAGTCCCCGTAGAGCATCTCCTCCTCATCGTCCACAGAGCCACTGCGGGGACAGAGGGACACCTGAGACACCTGAGATGCACCTGAGACACCTGGGCACACCTGGGGACACTTGGGGACACCTGGGACAGCTGGAACATCCCTGGGGATACACCTGGGGACACCTGGGACAACTTGGGGACACCTTGGGGACACCTGGATCCACCTGAAAACATCCCTGGAGACACAACCAGGAACACCTGGACACTGGGATACACCTGGAGACACCTGGGGACACCTTGGGGACACCTGGGGACACCTGAGAACATCCCTGGAGACACAACCAGGAACACCTGGAGACTGGAGACATCCCTGGGACATCCCTGGGGACACACTTGGGGACACCTTGGGGACACCTGGATCTACCTGAGAACATCCCTGGAAAAACAACTGGGAACACCTGGACACTGGGGACACCGGGGGCACCTTGAGGACACCTGGGGACACCTTGGGGACACCTTGGGGACACCTGGAGACACCTGGGGAAATTCCTGGAGACACAACTGGGAATACCCAGAGATTTGGAACTCCTGGGGACACCTTGGGGACAACTGGGGACACCCTGGGGACAGCTGGGGACACCTGGGGACCCTGAGACCCACCTGAGGTCCTGGATGAGGGTCTCGGCCTCGGCGTGGGGGCGGGGCGGGGGCTCCTCACGGGGGGCGCGGCTCTCGGTGGTGAACATTCCGGAAAGGTCCCGGTACAGACAGAGTGCCGTCACCCGAGAGGGCTGTGGGGACATCATTGGGGACACTGGGGACATTGGGGACAACATTGGGGACACTGGGGACATCCTGGTACAGGCACAGCGCTGTCACCTGAGAGGGCTGTGGGGACATCATTGGGGACAGTGGGGACATCACTGGGGACATTGGGGACAGCATTGAGGACACTGGGAACATCACTGGGGATACTGGGGACACTGGGGACATTGGGGACATCCCGGTACAGGCACAGCGCTGTCACCTGAGAGGGCTGTGGGGACATCATTAGGGACATCATTGGGGACATTGGGGACAGTGGGGACATCACCGGGGACATTGGGGACAGCAGTGAGGACACTGGGAACATCACTGGGGATATTGGGGACACTGGGGACATTGGGGACATCCTGGCACAGGCACAGCACTGTCACCCGCGAGGGCTGTGGGGACAGTGGGGACATCACTGGGGACATCTCAGTACAGGCACAGCGCTGTCACCCGAGAGGGCTGTGGGGACAGTGGGGACAGTGGGGACATCATTGGGGACATTCCAGAAAGGTCCCGGTACAGGCACAGCGCTGTCACCCGTGAGGGCTGTGGGGACAGTGGGGACATCACTGGGGACATTGGGGACAGCACTGGGGACACTGGGAACAGCACTGGGGACATTGGGGACATCCCGGTACAGGCACAGCGCTGTCACCTGCGAAGGCTGTGGGGACATTGGGGACACCATTGGGGACATCACTGGGGACATTGGGGACACTGGGGACATTGGGGACATCCCGGTACAGGCACAGCACTGTCACCCACGAGGGCTGCAGGGGACAGCACTGGGGACACTGGGGACAGCAGGGACATTGTGGGGGACACTGGGGACATTGAGTGCATTGGGGACACTGCGGGGACATTGGGGGAACACTGAGGACATCAGGGACATCAGGGACATTGGGGGGACATCCTGGTACAGGCACAGTGCTGTCACCCACGATATGGCTGCCATGGGGACATTGGTGACACTCACATGTCACACAGGTGGCAGGAGCAGGGCCAGGCAGGGTTGGGGACAGTCAGGGATGGTTGGGTTGGGTTAGGAAGGGTTGGGGACACAGGTGACACTCATGTGTGACACGGGGGGCCTGAGGAGGGGCAGGCAGGGTTGGGAAGGGTTGGGGACATTGGTGGCACTTACGTGTGACACGGGGGGCCGCTGCAGGGCCAGGCAGGGTTAGGGATGAATGGGGACACTGGGGACAGCTGAGGGGGTTTGGGGACATTGGTGGCACTCACGTGTGACATGGGGGGCCGCTGCAGGGCCAGGCAGGGTTAGGAAGGGTTTGGGGACACAGGTGGCACTGATGTGTGACACAGGTGGCCTGAGGAGGGCCAGGCAGGGTTGGGAAGGGTTGGGGACACAGGTGGCACTCACGTGTGACACGGAGGGCCACAGCAGGGCCAGGCAGGGTTAAGGAAGGGCTGGGGATGGTTTGGGGACACTGGGGACAGCTGAAGGGGTTTGGGGACACAGGTGGCACTCACGTGTGACACAGGGGGCCTGAGGAGGGCCAGGCAGGGTTAGGGATGAATGGGGACACTGGGGACAGCTGAGGGGGTTTGGGGACATTGGTGGCACTCACGTGTGACATGGGGGGCCGCTGCAGGGCCAGGCAGGGTTGGGGACAGTCAGGGATGGTTGGGTTGGGTTAGGAAGGGTTTGGGGACACTGGTGGCACTCATGTGTGACACGGGGGGCCGCTGCAGGGCCAGGCAGGGTTAGGAAAGGTTTGGGGACACAGGTGGCACTCACGTGTGACACGGAGGGCCACAGCAGGGCCAGGCAGGGTTAAGGAAGGGCTGGGGATGGTTTGGGGACACTGGGGACAGCTGAAGGGGTTTGGGGACACAGGTGGCACTCACGTGTGACACGGGTGGCCAGAGCAGGGCCAGGCAGGGTTGGGAAGGGTGGGGGACAGCTGAGGGGGTTTGGGGACACTGGTGGCACTCACGTGTGACACGGGGGGCCGCTGCAGGGCCAGGCAGGGTTGGGGA